AAATGACAGGTCAGCCACAGTCCCGTATGCTCTGTCAATGGCTGCCACCTAGTAAGTGTCAGAGACTGAGGGAGGGATTGCAGTCCCCTGCTTTGGGCAAAGGCCCTAGGGAGAAATCTGGCCTGAACTTGAATGCCAGATAGCACACCAGCGGAAAGGTGTTCACTTTGGACAAGGAATTAGGGTGGATGGACAAGGAACAATAAAATGGGGCCAGCTGGTGTATTCAAGGGACTGTGACTAGCTGTTTATTATTCTTTTTCTGTTACTTTGTATTTGGGGGCCCTTTCACAGAGCTCGCTCAGGAAATGACTCTGCTGTCCTCCGTAAGCCCAGCTAAGCCTCGAAACAGATGGCCTTCAGTGAGTTCAACAGAATGAAATGAACTCCTACTATGTGTAAATCATTGTCACGTACTGCAGAGTACACAGGCAAGTGTGAAATACAGTCCCTGCCCTCAAGGGCAGGAAGGATTTTCCTTCTGTCAAATGGCCAGTGACAGAGATTCAGGATGACTCTGCAGCAGTGAAGTCCTCCGTCTGATAAACGGCGGCGGGCTCTGGGCAGCACTGACAAGTCTAAGGAAAACCAGATTATCCATCTATCGAGATGCTCCATCTGTGGGGGATCCAAAGGTGTTTGGTGACTCTGGAGTTTTCTTCTCAGGATTAGTTACCAGGCTCAGTCTTGTGTCTCCCACACTCCTCCCAGTGTATTCCTTCGCAAGCATGGGAGCCTGTCTGCAGCCAAATGCCTGTTCAGAATCAGAAGCCAGAGTAATTGCAGAGATAGCTACGACCCATCCATCGCTGGGCCACCGAAGAGCACCCCAACCAGTGAGCAGTCTCAGACTCTGCAGTTACTCCTGGTAAGGAAGAGGCATCAGAACAAGAACTAGAGAACCCACATAAGACAATGCCTGTGGGTAACTTCTGCATCGGGCAACCCTGGACAAAGGAAGTCTGCACATCTCTACCTGGCCTGAGAGAAACGAAGCTACCTCCTCCTGGCCCTGGAAGAGCGGTTAGGGCTGAGTGGGGGAAAGCACAGGTGAACGTCATCTGAAACAAACTGAAATACCAGTTTATCTTGGGCATCCCACAGTCTGATGATGTAGCTATTGCCACAATGGAGTGGAGAAGTTTCAGGAACTTACCAAGTTGTGTGGGACAGAGCTGCTACTTCTATGACAGAGCTGGCAGATGCCTGTCAATCACATCTCAAAAAGTGAGTCACGGGGATATAAAGCAGAGAACTAGCTCCTTGAGTCAATCAGAGGGCATAAGACTGAAGATTCTGGATGGTCAGCACTCACTCTGGCATATCTGACCTCCTGCTTCCTCAGATGACTGAAGGCCAAATAATGGTCAGAAGGGGATCTCTGGTGCCCTCAGGTTCTAGGCTCTGAATGCTTCAGTGGAAAAACTCTTTTCAAGGCAAAAACATACTGCAAGATGTTTGGAAGTATTTTGAAAAATGAGTTCATTTTCAGCCATAAGAAAGAATGAAATCTTGCCATTTGCAATGACATGGATGGATCTAGAGAGTGTCATGCTAAGTGAAATAAGTCAGTCAGAGAAAGACAAATAGCTTATGATTTCACTCATATGTAAATTTAAGAAACAAAGCAAATGAGCAAAGGAAAAAAAAGAGACAAACCAAGAAACAGACTCTTAACTATAGAGAACAACCTGATGGTTACCAGAGGGGAGGTGGGGGAATGGGGGAAAGAGGTGATGGGGATTAAGGAGTGTGCTTGTCATGATTAGCACCAGTGATGTATGTAATTACTGAATTGCTATACTGTACACCTGAAACGAATAGAACACTGTATGTTAGCTACACAATTAAAATGAAAAACTTAACAAAGAATGATTTCACATGTCCTAACTCTGTCTCAGAAGTTTACAGATCTCACTTCAAGACAGTTGAAGCATAATGTTGTTGCAGGCTAACCTGCAAAGGAAGGGACTGTACCTCCTAGATCAGAGTCCTCAAAACTGTCAAGTGACCCCCCCCCCAAAAAAAAGCAAAGAAGTAGCACACAATCTTAAGGCTCTATATTTAAAAGAAAGATTTCTGAGCCAGGCTACCATCACCAAGCAGGAAGACACTCCTGAAACTTAACTGTCTGACTGAAGGTATTTGGTCTTGGATGTTAACAAAATGGTATTGTTTTTTTAACTAAGCAGTCTGTACCTCTATCTTCATGTTCAATTCAGAAAATTCCATTTCATGAAACTTTAGGCTCTGAAGTGAAGAAGCGAGCACAACTCTCATACATTAATACTCCCAAGGAAAAGGTAAATGGAGCTACCCAGATACCCCCCCACCAAGGTGTTCCGAAGGACAATACCATATAAGGAATCTGGTTGTTGAGAAAGTGGATGACTGATCTGCATATCACTTTTTAAAAGCACTGAGCACTAACTGTGCTAGATTGCTAACGCTATCAGAAGCAGCATCGGGATCTAAGAGAATATGGCAAAGCTATCTGAATGAACACCAATTTTTATCTATCCTAAATGTTAATTAAGACATATGAATGTTAATTTATAGATATTTGTAACCCCCCCCAAAAAAGTATCTGGTGAGCAGAGTTGGCCAAGCTAGCAGACTAGCTGACAGGCAGGTGGTAGAGAGTCAGTCCGTGTACACCTTGATAATGTATCTTGCTCCCTCCACAGTGTACAGACCCTCCTAGGACAGGTGTGTGGCCAAGCTACTAAAAGAATGTTTCAAACTTCCTAAGTCACACTGTCTCAAGAGAACTCTGGAGATACAGCCCCTGTCCTTTGGTTCTTGCCCAAGGAAGGCTTTTCAGGTCTCTCCTTTATCCATTTTTAACCAATTTAGGGCATTTTTGAGCATTCATTGGTCCTCCCAAGATACTGCGACAGCTATAGCCCTAGGGTTGCAACAGTTCTCAAGTAAGCACCATTTATTATAGCACCAGCTTGGACTACAGAGTCAAGAACTTTGGACTATATTTCCAATTCTTTCTCTGACCCACTGGGTATTGTTTCTTCCTTTGCCCATTTTTTTTTCATTCAAAAAATATTTACTCCTTACCTACTCTGTGCCAGGTTCAACTCTAGGTGCTGTGCCTCCAGGACCAATGAGAAATCAAGTTCCTCTCACAAAGCATACATTCTAACTGGGGGAACAAACACACACTCTCAGAGAGACTGAGCGCTCGTTAGAAAATAAGCACAGTAACAGGACTCAGTGATGGGGGCAGGATAGAGAGGAGGGGAAGAAGAGCTCTGCTTTGGCCAGGAAAGAGCTCTAGGAGGAGTGACAGCTCAGTGGAGAGCTGAGTGATAAGCAAAAGATCTGAGGGAAAACTTCTCCAGGCGAAGGGAGCAAACACGAAGGTTCTGAAGTGGTAGAGTCAAAGGAACTGAAGGAAGGGCTGGGAAGCCAAAAATGAAATAGAGGGAGACAGATAGAGACAAGCAGGAGAGGGGGCAGGGGCTAGAGAACCGAGGGTGCTGCCTGTTGCAGGAGCTACACCATCTCAGCCTGGGGCAGACTTCATGAGGACCAAGTAGCTGCAGAACACCGCAGAGAGAATGAGGACGTCTGCCTTAGCAAGGGGCCTCAGGGACTAGGGTAGAGACATAAAGCCCATCTTCAGGTCATCCTGGGGTCAAACATTACTCAGCTGACCAGTCCTTATGGTCTCCTCTAGCCCAGTCATCGGGTACTGGAACGCCCTGGCACTATCCCGGACTTACCCTACTTGGTCTGTACCAGAGATGGGACTCGTGCCCCTCTGATGGCGACACTGAAGTTCTTCCAAAACCCAATTCCTTGTGACTTTTACTCATTTGCCTCCATAGATCCTTCTGTGCTCTACCAACAGCTAATAACACTCCAAAAATTCCCTTCTCAGGCAAGTCAGACCGGTTTCTTTCAGTTACTCATTTGACTTTCTAAAGTCTAACTTTTTATTATGGAAAATTTCAAATGTCCACAAAAGCAGAGAGAACGGTATAATACATCTCCATTTACCTATGACCAGCTTCAACAACAACCAACTCATGACCAATTGTGGTTCCAACTCTCTTTCTGACTTCCTTCACCAACTTGGTCATTACATTTGTCTCATAGGTATAGTATGGCCAACCCAGAATACCAGCAGCTCACTCACTGGAGACGTCCCATTTCTACTGCTAATGATCCCATTACATGTGTGGCAGCCATACTGTTGCTTCAGAATGTGAATTCATTCAACTCAAACTCTCCAGTCAGAACTTGTGCCTGCAGGGCTTTTGAACCCAAGTAAAGGAATTTATGTTTGCTCCCAGTGGTTTTCATTTTATCAGATTCAGCCCATCCCTTCAGGCTATCATGATGTTTTTTGGATCTAGACTCTCTAATATTTACTCACCATCCCTCCCAGCTTTTGCAATACCTCCAAAATTTGGGGAAGTAATGAGTCATCTCTATCCTCTCTGAGGATAAAAAAAGAAAGGATTAAAAAAAAAGAGTATGAATTAGAATGAGTGAATTAGAAAAAGAGTATAGCCAAAATGGATCAGAGAAAAGCTTTAGTTCAACTGCTTACTCTACAGATGAGAAAACCAAGGCTGAGAGAGTCTGCGTCTGATTCAAGGCCACCCATTAGGTAAAGGCAGGACAACCTAGAGCCTAGGCCTCATGCTCACTGCTTCCTCTACCCACTCCTACCTCTGCTAAGTCCTGAGGAGGGAAATGTGGGTCATCACCAGAGAGGCTACTGACAGTGGGCCACTGCAAACCGATTTCTAGTCAACTGCTCATAATAACCCACTTATCTGGTTAGCAATTATTAGGGGTTGCTCTCTGCCCGGACCCACAGCCCTCAATGACTTTCCCAGTCTCTCCCATTCTCTGAGATTAGGTTGGAAATCATTTTTCTCCATTCTTACTTAATTCCTGCATTATGTAGAACTATGTAACTGAACTAGAGTTAGGAATGTCAATGTTCATAAATAATAAAGGATTCACATCTATTAGAAATGAGAAATAAGTTTGTTATTCAAAAAGCCAAAAAATACCTCATTTAAAGGAAACACTTAACAAAATACACATCTTAAAAATTCAGCCCTCAAGAATCCTCTTTCCCACTGTTTCCATTTGAGAAACAAAGGACTGAATGGGTAATAATTACAGACACAATTCACACAGTAACTTGGAAATACACAAAAAGCATCGATGTTTTTCTGAGATTTCTCTTTGTGGTTCACTAATCACGCACTGAGGAGGGGTCCAAAGTTCAAATGTGCACAGCCCAAGCGGCCTCCCAACAAAGTGGCAGTGCCCTGGGGAGGAAGGGGCGGGTGTCCTTCCCTCAGAGAATAACATTAGGGGGTGGCAACCTGGGAGCTTGACCAAGAATCCAGCTTCTTATCCAGTCCGCTGCCACCATCAACTGTCAAACCATTTGCTCCTCTTTGCAAGAGGTGCTCCTTTAGAAGGTCCCAGTAATTTCTGCTTGTATTGTTCGACCAGCTGGTTGAAGCGGATTTCGGTCTTATTTCCCTTAGCTTTTTTCCTAAGGGCCTATAAAAGAAAGGTAAGGAAAAACAAGATCATCAATTTCAAGCACTGAATGTCACCTTGCTTTTATGCCAACCAAGAAAGAAAATAAGAAATCCTGTCAGCCACAAGAGGTGGACATTCAGGGAGTGACCCTTAGAAAAACCCAAATGAACCATCCGTTGGCAAGAAACCAGACCGGGAACACCTAAGAGAAGGTCCCACTAAAACACTGTGCAGGAGCTACAGAGCTCTCACTCTCAACCGCTCCTGTGAGAATCTTCTCACATGAGTCAGCCCAGAGTTTGCACCTTCCTGCTGGCCCTTTCCCTCAATGAGAATCCTGCTTATGCGATTTCAGAGACGGAGCTCTATAAGACAGTACGGAGTGGGTCAGACTTTCCAGAGGCACAGATTCTTTGAGTAGGAGAAGCTAATGCTTCTTTTACCCTTGAAACTTAGAAGGAACTAGAGAAGGGGAAAAGAAATCTTGACCTCAAATGTTCAAGAATGTAAAACCACAACTTTCTACTAAAAGGAACTAGGGCTGCTTGGAAAAATGGCTAATGCCAGGACCAGGGAAGAAATATGTGAGATGAGCTGGGACATCGGTTCTACCAGAAAGCAAGGACACCACCAAAGACAGGGTCATATCGGAAGGACTCAGGACCCAACTGAAGGGCCTTCTGCTGGCCCAAATGGGACAGAAATAATAGCTGCATTTGATGGCAACACATCAAGTGTACAGAAACTCGGGCATCTATAAGACGAGAAAGATCTTACTGGTCACCAAAGGCAGGTGGTAGGGCACCAACTCATTACTCTGAAAACTGATAAAGAGAAATGAAATCAAGCATTTATCCTGCCTTTCCTATACAAATGGTTATATCATGGTAACCATATAGTTGACCAGGGAAGATTATTTTCTCTAGAATTCTACCAAAACAATGCAAAAGAACTGGGGAAAAAAAAAAAAAGCCCCAAAACCAAAACGCTAGAAAATCACCATTCTGCACCCCATATTGAAATCATGGATATAGAGAGTAATTGTCAGTGGGTGCTAAAACCATTAGATGAGAGGCTGATGGGAACTTCACAAATGGGAGAGAGGCAGACAACCTCTAAGCCTACACATCTACTGATGAACCTGAACATCACTAAAAATGGGGCAACCAGACGTTACGTGCCTTAGGATGCTGATGCACCCGCAAGAACCCAGCACCACCCATGAAAAACTTGCCAAGAAAACTGAACTCGAGGGGCGCCTGGCTGGCTCAGCTGATAGAGCATGTGACTCTTGATCTCTGGGTTATAAGTTCAAGGCCCACACTGGATGTAGAGATGATTTAAAAATAAATAAAATCTTTACAAAAAGTAAAAGAAAACTGGACTTGAATCTAATCGAGCCTGTACATCTAACTACAGTTTATAGGCAATACCGGGTATCACAGGAACAGGTTAAATGATACCACAACGCAGCAAGCAGCTAAACTCAAAATGTAATACATTCTTTTTTTTTTTAAAGATTTTATTTATTTGAGAGAGAGAGAGAGTGAGAGAGAGAGAGCATGAGAAGGGGGAGGGTCAGAGGGAGAAGAAGACTCCCCTCAGAGCAGGGAGCCCAATGCGGGAGTCCAGGATCGTGACCTGAGCCACCCAGGCACCCGAAAATGTGAAACACTTTAAAGGGCAAATCACTCAGTTTCTTCAACAAATTATCAGTATGGGAAAAAGGGGTCTGATGAGGAAGACTGAGTTTTATAGGCAAAAAAAAAGGTTTAAGAGATATAAAACCAAATGTAATGTATGAATCTGTCTGGATTTTAATTTGTACTAACCAACTACAAAGGAATATTTCTGAGGTAACTGGGGACATTTTAATATGGGCTGCATATTAGAGGATATTAAGGGCTTCTTATTAATTTCATTAGATATGATAATGGCATAATATATACATATTTTTAAGGCCAGTCAGTTGAAGATGCATTCTGAGTTTTTTTCTGAGCAATACACCTCATTTTCATAGAAGGCATATTTACATGTGAAGCTGAGTTTGCCTTAATATACTCTGGGCAGGCGGGCAGTATGCTTGAGGAAAAGGTAAAATAAGAGAATTGTTGAAGTAAAGAAAATAATATGCAGGTTCTTTCTACTTTTATCTATTTATTTACTTACTTAATAACTTATTTATTTACTTATTTCTTATCTATTTTATTTAAGATATTTTTAAGTAAGCGCCATGCCCAGTGTGGAGCCCAATGTGGGGCTTGAACTCACAACCCTGAGATCAAGACCTGAACGGAAATCAAAGTTAGATGCTTAACCGACTGAGCCACCCAGGTGCCCCTAAGATTTTTATTTTTAAATAATCTCTACACCCAACATGGGCCTCGAACTACAATGCCAAGATCAAGAATTGCATGCTCCACCAGCCAGGTGCCCCATTTCCTTTTAAGTTTATTTATTTTTTTTTTTTTTTTAATAATTTTTACATCCAACATGGGTCTCGAACTCATGACCTCAAGATCAAGAGTCACATGCTCTTCTGACTAAGCCAGCCAGGCACCCAGGTTTTCTCCACTTTTAGAACTGCATACCTCAACAGCTTCTAAAAGAGGGTGTTGCAATCCAGAAGCCCTTTCTTTTTGCTTAACTAATCAGAGCACAAAAGTGGCTACCAGCCATGGCAGAGCCCTGCCGTACCAAAGCCTCGTGCCCTATAGAACTCACCTGCTTGGGAGGTAATGTCTGCTTCTCTGGCTTCTGCTGGTTCATCTGGGGCTTTGGCTTTTTGGGAGGGAGAGACTTCACCTTGCCTTTGTCCCGCAGCCTGAAATGAGAGGTCAGGTAAGTGTCACTCTGAGCTCTCCCTCTAACTCGCTCCTCCGAGGCTGTCTCTACCGCCAGATAAAATGCTTTTTCTTACACTGGCTCTTTCTAAGCCCAGGATAAGTCATTCTAAAAGGGGAAACTATAACATAATATCCTAAGGCTCAACATGTGTATACTTTTTATTTTGGCTTAAAACCTCAAGGGATTCTCAAAAACCATCATTTATTTAACAAGTATTTTGTAAAGATTGACTTTTGTTGATAGCACTAATCCGTCGCCTCAAACAGGATCTGCACGATAAGCTCAAGTAAGAGGGCCTCAGCTGACAGAGACAGCCCTCCGGATGGGAGGCAGCTCTTCAGAAGAGGAGGAGAATGGCACAGAGGATCTCCCCGGCTATTCCTATTCCGGCCTCCAACTGCTCCCAGAGCACAGCTCTGCCAGTGTGGAGATGCCTGCACATTAATCCTTTATGGGGGGCTGACAGAGTGCTAAATGTACCTTTCATCCAAGCAAAAGCCACAAAGAGGAAAAGGGTAGAGCAAAACCAAACCCTGGGAGAAGCCCACCGCAGTGCTATGCCACCACTCTGCATCTCACCTAATTTTGGGGCCTCGGTGTGAGGGGAGCACCAGGACCTTTCTTCTCTTCTTTCCATCTGGCAGCTCCACCTGCTCCACTTCAGCCTTGGTCTGGAACCCTGTCCAGGAGGTCCGATGCACCCTCTCCTTTTGCTCCAGGGGGGCCTTGGTTTGTTCCTGTGTGTGGTTTTGAGCTGCTTTCCGTTGCCGTTGCTGGTCTTTTCCAAGTGCTGGTTGTTCCTGCTGGGGCCCACCAGCTGCAGGCTTGGATTTCACTTTTTGCTGCACAAAACAAGAGACTGCCATCTAGTTTCCGGATGAGGTTTATTTGCTGAAAACACTCAGCAGAAAAGGAGCTTTACGCAAGCTTAGTGAAAGGAGAATTCTTCCCCTGTAGAGTACAAATTACAGGGAAGTGAATTCAAGTTCACAGGCCTTGACGTGGTAACAGCTGGTTACCAGGTTGGGGGACACAAAACCACCACTTCCCTTTCCATATACAGGAACAGGGGAAAGTGTATGCATGCCCAAGACTTAAAAGCCAGTAGGAAGAAAGCAAAAAGAAAAGCCAGTAGCATGGGTCAATTACTAAAGATGTGATGGGAATCCCAGAGGGAGAAGAAAGAAAGGAACAGAAGAAATATTCGAAGTAATAAGGGGTGAGAATTTGCCAAACTTGGTGGCAGATACTAAACCACAGATGCAGAAGCTCAGGCAAACACCGAACAGGAGACATACCACAGCCTCTCCACCCAGGCATATCATACCAAACTGTAGGAAATCAAAGACAAAATGAAGATCTGGAAAGAAGGGGTGGGGGTGAGGTAAAGGATACCTTACCCTCAGAGGAACAAAGATAACTTTACACTGAATTTCTCTTAAAAGCCATGTAAGAAAGAACAGAGAAATACTTAAAGTTTTGGGGAAGTCACCAACCTAGAATTCTATATCCAGTGTAATCACCTTCAAAAATGAAGGACAAATAAAGACTTTCTCAGACAAACTAAATTAAAGGAATTTGTCACCAAGGGACCTATCTTGCAAGAAAGGCTAAGTGAATTTCTTCAGAGAAGGAAGATGACCTAAGTCAGAAACTCGAATCTACATACAGAAAGGAAGAATGCAGGGCACCTGGGTGGCTCAGGCGGTATCTGCCTTCAGCTCCGGTTATGGTCCCAGAGTCCTGGGACTGAGTTCCTGAGGCCTGCTTTTTTGCTCAGCGAGAAGCCTGCTTCTCCCTCTCCCTCTGCCACTCCCCCTGCTTGTGCTCCCTTGCTTTCTTTCTGTCAAATAAATAAATAATATCTTAAAAAAAAAAAAAAGGAAGAATGCTAGAGAAGGAATAATTGAAATTGAAATGAAGACTAGGAAAAGATGCTATAAGAAGGAAGACATAAAGTATGTTACAGATTTAGCTGCACTGTAGTGGAAGAAGAAAAAGATCCACATTAAATTAGTGTAATCATTGATACAACAAAGATCTACTATATGCCTGTAAAGTGCCAGTCTCAGTTTCTAAGGTAAGGCTACAAAGGGTGTCTACCTTTGAGGACTCACAGCCTGGTGGAGGATTAGACACATACAAATAGGGTGAAACTAAAAACCTTAAAAAAAACTAAAGACCTTAAGGAAACTCATGAAAGTACAAGTTATGAGGTCTTACCTCCTTTGAGAGAGGTGGTGAAAACTATACTTGAGGAAGCACATTTGATCTGAATACAGAAACTGGGTAGAAGTATCCTTGAGTCAGGGGAAAGGGGCACTTTCACACAGAGTAGTATGTACACAAGTATAAGCAACAAATAAAGCCATCGGAATCATTTTTTAAACCTCTAGTTTCGGAATCACTCTGAAGCAAGAGCTTAAGGCAGTAAGGACAACAAAGCTGCCTCAAACAAGAACCAGATCCTATATTTTCAAGTCCAGGACCACTGTATCGACTCCCGAAACTGCTCTTCTATTGGTCAGGCCCATGGTACACACCACGAAGAGTGCAGATGTTTTGTATATAAGCGAATCCAGGAACATTATCCATGAAAGCTATAGCAGTTACGGTATCAAGATTATTCTGGCCTTCTAAGTCCTAGGGCAAGAAGGGTAAGAGAATGAGTGTTGATTGTGTGCTGACCATGCACTGTGACCATTTAATCCTTATCAGTCATGTGAGGCAGATACTGGTAATCTTACTTTATAAACTAAACTGAAGCTGAGAGAGGTACTAACTTGCCACAGAACTTAGGGGTACAGCCTGAGTCTGAACATGAGTATTCCTGGTCCCATTCTTTGCTTTACACCACACTAGATTAAAAACAATACTAAAACTATCAGGCATCACATTTCTGGAGACATCTAAGAAGAAGAATCATGGCAGAGACAGCTGAAACCTACAGCAATGTAAACTTTCATGTGGGCCATTACCTTTGACAGGTATGTCACAAAACACTGTACTGGTATTGTTCACTGTTAATAACATTAGCCTGACTCTCCTCTCTCCTTCCTTTCCCCTCAGCAGAGCTATCACAAGGAAGGCCAGCAGAGAAGATGGCCTGGAGAGTTCTAGGGAACTAAGAGTAGAGGGTAACAACCTAATGGGGTAAAGACCTACTTCAAGGATACAGAACCACAAATTAAACAAAATAGGAGTTTAAATATAGCCTGAACAAAAATTGTTTTAAGTGAACTACACTTAAAAATAATAAATTTTATGTTATGTGTATTTGACCACAATTTTAAGAAAACAAGCAAAAACAGAAAAACATTTCAGTTCTGTACCAGGCTGCGCTGAATCCTCAGTTCCTTTATTTTAAGTTTCCTTCGATCCTCCAAAGAGAACTCCACTATTGGTCTCTGGGTCAGAAAGAGAATATCGTTCATTAGATGTCTTAGTTTCTGAGTGCAAAGAGCTGAGCTGTCCCCCACCACTGCCCCCTCTCCTGCTCACTTACTCTACTTAAAGGTAAGGGGCCATTCTGCACACAGTCTATCCAATTTAGATTCCAATTCATTCTAATCTTATCAGCTGAATCACTGCTTATTCCCTTCACCAATTGGCTACTCTTTGCCACCACATGCAAGTCGGAGGACATGGGACATAAAGGAGAGAGATGGTTTTGTGCAAATGGCCCTCAGAGGAACAGGTGCGCCCACAGGCTGAGGCTCACCTTCAGAGGCCCGAAGATCTCTGGGTTGTTGTTGATGTGGCGTAGGGCTGTCAGGGCATGCTCATGCTCCTGGAACTCTGCAAAGGCGTAGCCCAGGGACTGACCCTTCACTTTCCCAAGTGCTCCTTTGAGGTCTCGCATCACCCTACACTAAGAGTAGAACAAGAGAAAGAAGCCGTGGTTACAGGATGAGAGCACGAACAGACTCACTGAAGAAATCAGGTGACTGGAACAGAACCCTCATCCGATCAGCCACAGCAGTCACACTGGAGTCATGCTTACCAAGGTCTTATTAGAACACCCCTACTGAAAGCACAAAACCAATTAAACAGATACTTTCTGGCTTTCTAAGAGTTTATAGAGATCAAGAAAAACCTATAAATAAGCATGTAAATAAAACAGCCCCCCCCTCATTTTAACAGTCAACTGTGGACAATACATGCAAATTGAGAGGTATATGGTACTTTAAATGATGTAGGTTACACGGAGACTGAAGTGCTGTCCACAGATCTCATCCCTGAAGAAGCCACTCAGGAAGGAAATCACTAAAGAAGGAAAACAAGGGCGCCTGGGTGGCTCAGTTGGTTGGGCGACTGCCTTTAGCTCAGGTCATGATTCCGGAGTCCTGGGGTCAAGTTCCGCATCAGGCTCCCAGCTCCATGGGGAGTCTGCTTCTCCCTCTGACCTTCTCCCCTCTCATGCTCTCTCACTTTCTCTCTCTCAAATAAATAAAGAAAATCTTTAAAAAATAAAAAAAAAAAGGAAAAGGCCTGATGGCTTTAGTCAAGAAAGACATTTAGGGGTGCATGGGTGGCTCAGTTAATTAAGCATCTGACTCTTGATTTCAGCTCAGGTCATGATCTCAGAGTTATGAGATCGAGCCCCACATCAGGCTCCCTGCTCAGCAGGAAGTCTGCTTCTCTCTTTCTGCCCCTTCTCTCTTTCTCAAATAAATAAATAAATCTTTAAGAAAAACATCCAGGCATAGGGAAGGGCCTGCCTAACATATAGCCTCAGGATTACAGGAAGAAGCTTCAGCTGGCTTTGCTCAGAGCTCAGATCTTCTCTGACATGATTTTTTCTTAAATCCTTAAGCTGAATGTAATAGGCATCCTGGGGCATCAAGGATACCAAACTATAGTAGCATATCTTGGAAAAACTGGTTGTTTACATGCCATTACTCCTGAAAGCCATAGTTCTGATGTAATAGAGACATCTAGATATTAGGACACATGGATGCTGCTAGTACCTACTTCTAGATACTTCTAGTACCTATGCTGTCCCTACAACTGTGCCATGTACTATGGGGAAGTTACAAAAAAGCTGAATGTGAGGTTCCTGTTCTCAAGAAGTTTACCATCTTGCTGAGATCCTATATCTACACATATTAAAGAATTAAAGAGAAAATTCAAGGGGTGCTAGGGTGGTGTAGTTGGTTAAGCATCCAACTCTTGGTTCTGGCTCAAGTCATGATCTCAGGATAGTGAGAGTGAGCCCTGCATGGGGCTCCATGCTCAGTGTAGCGTCTGCTTCAGATTCCCATTCTCCCATTCCTACTGCCCCTCCTGCTCACGCTCTTCCTCCCAAATAAATAAATAAATCTTAAAAAAAAAAAAAAAAAAAAAAAAAAGAGGGCGCCTGGGTGACTCAGTTGGTTGAGTGACTGCCTTCAGCTCAGGTCATGATCCCGGAGTCCCAGGATTGAATCCCGCATGGGGCTCCCTGCTCAGCGGGGAGTCTGCTTCTCCCTCTGACCCTCTCCCCTCTCATGTTCAATCTCACTCTCTTTCTTGCTCAAATAAATAAATAAATAAATAAAAGGAAGGAAGGGAGGGAGGGATAGAAAGAAGGAAGGAAGGGAGGGAGGGATAGAAGAAGGAAAGAAGAGAGGAAGGAAAGAAAGTCAGTCCCCTTAAAATGACAATAGTGGGAGTTTTTTAAAAAGTAAAGAGAAAATTCAATACAACACAAATATTGTAAAACACATAAATTCCCCTAACTGGGTGGCTCAGTGGGTTAAGCCTCTGCCTTTGGCTCAGGTCAGGATGCCAGGGTCCTGGGATTGAGCCCCTCATTGGGCTCCCTACTTAGCAGGGAAACCGCTTCTCCTTCTGTCTCCTTCTGCTGCTCTCCACTTGTGCCCTCTTGCTTGCTCTTGCTCACAAACAAATACATAAAATCTTAAAAAAACAAAATTTCCCTTTCTGATGACAGGTTTTCAATGTGTATCGGCACTTACTAAGTATTGTGGATGCTGATATGAGAAATTACACAACTGACCTCTACGCCAGTAACACTTTGAACAGTTTTACTAAGAGTGGTGTCAGATATGTGCTGATATGTTCACATTCTCTCATGTAATTCCCCAAATACTAATGCCATACATTTTGAAGAGGTTTTCCAGGATTAAGAAAACAGTTTCTAGTCACAAATCAGAGAAAAGTAGATTTATAATACTGCCTGTGTTACTTAGTAAATACAGATTGAGAGATTACTATGTTCCAGGTATTCTGCCAAGAGCTAGGAGCAATGTCCTACCTGCTCTCAAAGAGCTCAGTGTGGTCGGAAGAAATGACCGGCAGACAATGACAGGACGGTGTAACAGTAAGTGCATGACAAAGGCTTGCAGTGGGGGGGCAGGGAAGTCTTTGTACTCAGAGACTTGGTGTGAATCCAATATTTGTCTAATACAACTGTCCAAGACCCCCATGGCTCTCTGTGCTTGCCACACAGCACTTTCATACAGTAAGAGCCTAAATGGCACTAAAATGTCCTTCTAAAGAGCCAACTACACAGAGTATTTTCTCTGTGAGAAAATTAACATTACAGCACCTGCTATGATGCTGAGCACACAGCAAGCATTCAAATTAATTCATGAGGGCAGACACTTCCTCACATTCTGCTGCAATTTGGACAATGCGTGTGAAAGGCAGTTCTAAGAAGAGAAAACAAACACATGAAAACTGCCAAACCCAGCCTCATCTGTCGACAATGCACGCAAAAGAAACTGTCAGTCTGCTAGCAGCACAGTCTGACCCACAATGAGAACCAAACTTTGGAGTGGGCAGGGCCCATCTCACCTCCTTGAGGCGCACCCCCTTCTCCCCTCGGGTGGCACTCAGCAGCAGCTTTCTGAGCTCTTTGTCATCCACACTCTTTGGGAGGTTGTGCAGGCACAGCCTGGTCGGGGAGACAAAGATATTCTGGTCCTTGAGTTTCTGATGCTTCAGCAGCTCAAACTGAAAGAACACCAAATTGTTAACAATACAATCCACCCTTAAAAATGCAGGTTCATAATTCTCCAAAAGGAAAGAACTGTGACCACCACTCCCCATCCAACAACACATATAGATAAAAGAAGAGAAATCACCCACCTACAGTCTTATGATGACTAGATTAGGAAAGGTTCAGAGAGGCAAGATGGGGGGCTCTAGAATTCAGACTAAATTGGAAATCCATCCCTAACTGGAGAAGTTACATGAAATTTTTTAAGGCTCAGTTTTTCCCCTCTACAAAGTAGAACCGTAGGTCAAAGTACCCATCTCTCAGCACTGATGTGTGGCTGAAATGAAGGAATATACAAAAAAATCCCAAACTCAAAACACAGCCCAAAGCAAATAATAAATAATAATGCGATTACCATCTATGCCCAGTCCTTATCTGCCCCCAACTCAAGCTAATTATCTAGTCTTTCCAAAAGGAAATGGAATTTATTTAAATACTTGACAGAATTCTATCTCAACTCTGCCACCTTGAGGCAAAAGTATGTCCATGACCACAGAAATGAATTTTGCTTCTAGAACATTGGACTCAACTATGCTGCACAGTTCCAGGGCAACGTTTGCTAAAGTAAGAGGATAACATTCTTCTCCTGGTATGTTTTTTTTAAAATCAGGTTAGTAGAAAAAGAGTTTTAAATTAAATTTTTTCTTTTACCAAGTCTTGTTTCTGCTGTTCTTAATTGGTAAAGGTGCTAACAAATTACAAAATAAAGATATTCTGAAAATGAGTATTAAAGGGTTATTTGAAGAGGCTCTCACACCTGAGTTCAACAGTATGATTCTTCTCCCAGGAAAAGCTGTGCCTGCTGTGAATTATAATGCATATAATTTACAGAGCTTTTTGCTAGAAAAATTTGTTCTAAGGGAAAATTAAATGTTTCACTATCCTACCATGATCAGAAAAGGGCATACAATACCCTCTAAATACCATGATTTCCAGATGCTCACTAACAAAAAAAGTTGTGAACACGAGACTAGAAACTGTACAAAGGAAAAACACACTGACTCTTGGTGTCTACATTCTCATCTCTGTTCTTCATCTTCTGTACCTTCAAGTTCCAAAGCTCATTCTCTTAATGATCGTGCCTCTTTATCATTCTAGGATGGCTTAGCTATTTGAAAGTACGCTACTTGGATAAAAGTTAAAAATTACTGGAAATGAAAAACTAAGCAGCAAAGAAACTCAGTATCAGTTATCAGGGGGAACTCCCATGATATGGAATCTTCCTAAAATGATTTTATAATCTGGACATAACCCCCTACCAAAAAAGGACATCTTAACTCCTCCTTCTAAGACCCACATCTACCTCCTTCCCTACTAACTCCAGCCCATTCTGATCTTCCTCTCTTAGGTCATTATGCCTTTACACTGACATCTAATTATATGTAGCCTTAGCCTCTAAGTGTCTATTCTATTTTGTAGAAGCATACTATTTGGCAAACATTTACTGCTGAGCATTGGGAAATTAAAGAATAAGATCCAGTCCTTTTAATGGCATACAACGCTCACATTATATGATGTACAGTGTTGGGTTATTTGCTGTTTCACCCGTACACTTCCCTCTAACAAGACTTCAAGCAAGCAGGATCTGTGATGCTTGGCTCTCTGACAGGCACCTCCAGCATTCAATAGTCATTACATATTGATTTATAGTAAGTCATGCAGAACCTGAAGGCTGGTGCCTAATCTACCCACCCGTTCTCTTTTGGCCATATCAGCAGCGCTCACACCCTCGGCAGCCTTAGTCCCAGCACGAATCACTGCAAAAGAGGGAAAAAGGCCAAGACATCAGCAAGGGAATTTTCACTGAGCAACAAGAGGAATGTGATTTGAATGATGCAAGCTCTTTGTACAGGGCCCAGAGGACTATGCTGGCCAGGACATAGTGGCATTTGGGTAGGTCCAGAAATAGGCTACAGGGCTAAGTTCTCAGCTCTGTGCTGCTCTCAAGGACTAAAACTGAACATTTTGTGAATTTGTTCTTCTTCTCCTTCCCTCCTCTCACAAACTTCCATGTGTATGCCCAACATCAGATGGAAAGGCCTAGAGGAAGTTCTGAAAACAAGTACATTTTAGGTATTTGGGATACAAAAATGCTCCACCTATAACCTGCCCTTAGAATTTTACTGTTCTTCACGTACTTGGGGTCAGTTCTAAGCAGTGAGTTAAGCCAACCTGAAAACAGCCACCTGGCCATACAGAGGCCTAGAACCAATGGCTAAAAGGCCTTGCATCACTAGTCCGGGCTGTGCAGCTGTGCAACAGGTAGGCTGACAAATACCATATGACCTAGAGAAAGGGAATCTTCTGGGTTTTTTTTAATTGAAGCTAATTTCTAATTATCTTTCTGACATTAAGGGAAAGGTACTGGGTGCACATTTTAAATCTATGAATAATTCAAAAGAGTAATTTTAGCCATAATTTTCAACTCCTTCAGAAAAACTATCAAGAACCTTGACAAGAAGTGAAGGTAATTTGAGCTTTTCCTCCCTCTTTGCCCTGCTAATCCTCTAATCTAAAGGTCTCAAGGCAAGCAGGCAGGAAGGAGAATAGGACTGGTTAATTCACAAACTGAGTGAAGGCTTCCTAACAGAAAGCCCCATCTGCTCAAGTGGAATAATAATGTAATGCTGTTGATGAGGACATGTGGGTTTTGAATCTGAAACATGCCCCCAGACATACTATTGCTGGTCACAGTCATAGCACGGCGCCCGCCACCCCGAAGCTTGGTTCACATCTCCCTTCCACTACTCACAGCCTTCTCGGGCCAGGTAGAGGTTCCGGGTTCCAGTTGGCTTCTTCACCTTCTTTGTCTGGAGCTTTGCAGCCTCATCACGGGTCACTGCCAAGTCGACCCTGAGCTGCCGGCCATCCAGTTTAAGCCCACCACCCTGTAACAGATTGCAACCTTCTCTCTTAAAATTCATAATGAGTAGAGACTAAGCGCCTGACAAGGAATGCCAAGGAAAGGGAAAACAGCAAATCCCAATTATGCTACGGAGCCCAACCCATAGGATGTTTTGGCCCAGACAGCTACAAATGGACACTAAGCCTAATACCTAGTAGAGCTGTGCAAAAGGCCACGTGTATACTGAGGGCAGTTAGTAGTAATTTATTTTATGGGAGTTGAATAGGCCCAAAGTAAGCCCAAATAAGGAAAACCATATATAGCCAATTTTTAAAAATTCTAAAGAAAGCTAATGACATGGTAGTATTAATTCTACTTAAGAGAATATGAGATAATGGCAATACAGGATAACTTATCTCAAAACAATATATAGTTGGTTTTAGAATACACAGAAAAATCCATCACCCATACATTTTCTCTCATTTACTCCACTTTATAGATGACCTTAACCCTTCCTGTCCCAACCTTTCATGTTATCAGCCTATGATGGAGGCTGGCATATAGACAGTGCTTAATAAACATTAGACACATTATTATACCTGCTTCCTCACTTATAAAATGGGTATAATAATTGATCTTTTTTTTTTTTAAGTATACTCCATGCCCAGCGTGGGGCCCAACATGGGATTTGAGCTCACAATCCTGGAGATGGAGACCTGAGCTGAAGTTAAGAGTCAGACCCTTAACCGATTAAACCACCCAGGCACTCCAGTAGGTATAATAATTGTAATTACCTTACATACTCCTGTAGAACTGATGTAAGGATTAAATAAGGTAGTACAGGTAAAGCTGAGTGCCTAACACACACCAAGTGCTCAGTAAGTGTCAGCTTTATTACTATGATATTATTGACAGTACTAATAAATCTGGGTATAAAAAGCAGATGCTGGCCTTCGGAGCCACTATGCCCTAAGTTATGGGGTAAAAGCAATGTCCTCTTTACCTCAGTCTCTGGAAGAGCAGCTTCAAGGCATTTCTGAGCTGCTTCTTGAGTCATGAACTGGGCAAACGCACAACCTGCATGGAGAAACAAATTAAGTGAGATGCCAAACTCCCAAGGCCCACCAGGATGCGAAAGATGATGCTACAAATGGTGGCAGCCTGACACAGGGTGGAAGGGGACGCAGCCAGGTGCTAGGAGACAGGCATTGTGCCAGGCACTGAAGGTTCAAAGATAGCTAGGACACATGCTTACAATGAAATTTTATTATTACTTCATCTTTTCTAATGCTTCTTAGAACTTTAGTCTCACCATTGCTCTCCTTAGTAAGAAAAAGCCACAGGATATGGTAGAGAAATTCCACTTAAATCAGCATTATTTACTGGCTTGCTTTTTAGAGGACTAAAAAATGAGGCAGGAACCACTTAACCTGAAATTAATTACAGAATCTCACTGTCATCAAAGCCACCTGGGAGACATCAGACATGGGTAGACTGGCCTCTATCACATGAATACAGCAGTGAACCAGAAAGCCATAAGCTCAATTCTTGACTCATACCCTCAAATTTGCACAGGCTAACCTATCACTGGTTAAATGCAAAGTCAATCAACCCATCCTAATTTCTAATATTGATAAAAAGCAGTTTTTGTCAGCAAAGGAAAAAAGTTCACCTTACAGTAGGCTCCAAAAAAGAAATACAAGTTTCATAATATTTTACAAGTATTCCTTTATACAAATTTAAATATTCCCTCATATATGAAAAAAATATCATACTTCCTGGAGTTACTGGGGCATTGATTGATTTTTTGCCCTCTACAAGAATGAATGGCAGCAGACGGAGACAACACACGTGGCAGGCCAACCCAGGAGTCACCATCTAGGTGAGGTGTTTCCTGACTTCTCCAGGCAAGGCCAAGTGCCCCATCCACTGGGCCTCCAATCACATCTCTCTTTTACAGTGTTGGTCACGTGCCATCTTTTCAAACAGAAGAAATGCCTTAGGAGTAAGGGCTATGTTTCTAGGCTGTTAGCATCTACCATAGTGTCTGGCATTAAGAGATACTCAATAGGAAGAAACAAACAATACAGAAATAAAGAAAGGAAGGAAGATGGGAGAAATATGTTCTAACTGACAGATCAGCTTATTCATCCAATATGAAGAAAATGGGTACTTCTCTCTGAATGGTAAGAATTTTAACACTGGAAATCCCTAGGTCAGTACTGGGTTTAGTCTTAACACTTCCCTAAAAGTCTACAAATAATTTTTCGCTCTCCTACACAGCGAAATGGCATGCTGACATTGGATATTGGTAGGAGGTGGCCAAGGCTTTGTGAGTAGGCAAAAAAACTTAATAAGAGCTAGAAAAAGACAATTATTTTGGACACGTGGGTGGCTCAGTTGGTTAAGCCTCTGCCTCAGCTCCGGTCATGATCCCAGGATCCTGGGATCAAGTCCCACATCAGGCTCCTTGCTCAGCAGGGAAAGTGCTTCTCCCTCTGCATGCTGCTCCCCCTGCTTGTGCTCACTCTCTCTCTCTCTGACAAATAAATAAAGTCTTAAAAAAATAATAACAATGAAAACTATACTTACTAATATCATTAACTCTCAGCTAACATTAATAGATCGAAAGAGACTGAGCAAGTCAGCTATTGACTATACTTTGAAAATACCAACCCAACAGACTACTGCACTCAAAAAGAAACAAAAGATATCAAAGTAATGCAATATCCTACAGTACTACGAACATCCTATGCAATTCTAGTTTCCAATTCCAAAAACATACTGGAAATGGAGAAGGTCCAAGAGGTATAGCTGAGTATTAGAGCTAAAGACACATTAAGTGATTACTCTAGTTGAACCTACTCATTTTACAGATAAGAAACTGAAGCCTGCAGTGGTTAAAGACTTTGCCAAAATCACCCAGCTGGTCTATGGCTCAGCTACAATTAGATCCCTAATCTCCAGGAAGCAGTTCATCTTTCTTTCCATCATCCTGCCCTACTTATATCTTTTTGGTTAAGGGAAAACCAAAAATGATCAGGTCTCATCAATTTGGAAAGTAAGGTTTAGACCAGAGGTTCTTACCCCTTGAATAGATTCCAGAAAGCTCACAAACCCTCAGGAGTGGCATTTTTCTGGAGAGAGAGAGGGTTCATAGCTTTTGCTAGATTTCAAAGGAAGCAAGAGCCAGAATGAATTAAGAAGTCACTGCTTTAGGAGAATGACTGCAGTTGATGAAATCAAAGATTATGAATCTACTGAAAAGATGCTGCTCCCCTAACAACAGTACTCTAGAATGAACTGGGGCCGATCCTTGGAAGTTCAAAAGAAATAGCTTTAGGGAGAAAAATCTAAGGCAGCAGTCCTGCTATATACAGCTTTCCTTCTGACTGTTGCCATTGCAACAAAATTGCTGTTAGCTTCCATCTCTAACAAAAGCAACTGAAAAAGATCCCAGTAATTTCAAGCAATGTGGAATGATTAATACCCATGAGATGCTATCACATTTGAAATTCAAAGGAGAACAACAAATGGAATTCATTACCCTAAAGTAAATAAGCAAGGGCTTAAAAAGCTTAGACAAAATTGTGGCTGGCAGCACCATTAAAGATGCTGAGTTTGATATCTTGGAAGACAACCTCAGAATGTCCTTGGTGCTTCTACGGACCACAGAAACCTGGGCTGGATGGACTGTAGGCCCCTCACAATAGCACACATTATGCTCTGTTCATGGCAGCAGTCTCTACCTTTTTAGGGCCTGACAAGCTGACAACAAGTACCTTTAGAATGCTCTGTGTCTGGATGCAAGACAATACGGACATATTTAAGATCTCCAAATTGCTGGAGGAGCTCCCCGAGTTCTTCTTCCTCTGAGTCAAAAGACAGGTTTCTATGGAAGATAGTCAAGTCACAAGAAAGGTCAATTACTAAAGTGAGATCCTGTGTTCTAGTACAAGGTGAGTAAGACACCAAATTGAGTGGTACTCTTGCTCATGACCACCCTGTGGTTCAGGAATAGCACCAATACATAGGGGAGGTCCCCAGTGGCCCAACCTCTAATATGTGACTCTGCCCCTTGGCCATAATTGATTGGCCTTTCTATGTCAATCAGATTCTCTCCCTCAGGAATTTAAAACTTGAACAGACATACACAAAGGCCAGAAGTAGTTGATGCAGATTTATTTCAAAATAGCAGTAGCCCACCCAAAGAAAACTTCTGGGAAGCGGAAATCTTGAAAATGTCCCATATCTTGATCTGGGTGGTGGTTACATGGATATATATGCATGAAAAATTTCACTGTACAAATGTACACAGCTGTACATTTAGATTAATGCAATTTACAGAATACAGATTATGCCTTGAGAAGGAAAAAAAAAAAGGCAGTGAGTGTTCCCAGAGAAAAGACCCATAGCCTCCTACAGCTGGGGCCCAAAACATCCCAGGTTTTCATCTCCTTCTTCAGGTATGTTCTTCAACAGTTTTGATCCCGTGAATCACCCAATGTTCATCCAACAAACCCACTTTTCCATTTACGTGGCCAAAATTAGTTTCTCTTATTACAACCAAAAGATTCACAGCAGGCCAATGAGAAAAGTCAAATGTGTGCATATGTCTGTCTGTCTCTCTTGATTACCCATTTTCCTCTCTGTATTGCTGCGAAATTGAGGTTTCAGTTAAAACTTTACAAAGGTCAGAAAATCCTTCAAAATAATGATTCAAAAGCAAACACAGTAAAGTTTACTAGCTAAGTGCAAAATAAGAAAAGCACTTATTTCTCTTGATGGGATTAAAAAATGTTGGAAGATTTTCTAGCAAATTTCAATACATTGTAAAGATCTTTCATTTCCCCAGCTATGCACATCTTTCCAGGGTAAAAACAAAGAAACAAAAAACGGTCCCCAATAAATATTTATAATTTTTCTTCTCTATACTCAGTTAACAACCCCATAAACAATTCCATCTTACAAAGTAACTGAGACAAAACAGATGTTCTGGAATAAGACATACCCTAGCCATGTCACTTCTAATTTGTCTCATTGTGTATAGTTTTCTCTCCCCCATCCTTTACTTTCCTGTTTCTTTAAAAGATGTAGAAATAGTAAGGAATGGTACCCTTGGTAATAAGGTCACAGGCTCCTAAGTATGACACTTCCTCCTTCCCATTAGACAGCATCCTCTACAAATACAAAACTATTGATGTGGCTATTCCTAACAATACAGTAAGAACAACTATGAAGAGACAAGCTGTGAAGGAAGAGAATGGGCTAAAGCGCAGCTTGTAGAGGCTAAACTCGTCTTTGATGTGGGCATGTTTGCGGGTGTTCTCTGAGTAATCAGTAAGGTTAATATTTTGTGTCTTTTTGCTCATTTATTTCCTAACTTTCCTACAATAAGCATAAGTTACTTGGATAATAAAAACAACCTTAAAAGACTATATAGGAAGATAAAATACACATCTTTAAAACAAGACCCAAATAACCCTAGCACACTGGCACTTAAGAAAGGACAAGAAGGCACGCCTTAGGTAACCTTAAGATATCCTGACTCTGTGAAATGACCAATGTACCACAGTCAGTAGCACTAAAAGGGCAATGGCAACATGAAATAAAACCCATCTCCACCTGACTGCCTCCTTAAGTTTTCCTGGAAACAAATGGATGTCTTATTTTATTCTGGACAATACTTTAAAAGGTAAGTTAGGCAGAGAGAAAAAATTATCTGGGACAAGTGGCAGTGGCATCACCCCTTCCCAGTACTTCCCCTAAAACAAAAGCCAGAAGCAAGATGTTTCTAATAGTTGAAGAACTGATTTATTCCAAATGATGCTACCTCAATTACAAAAAAGGAAATGTAAATGCGGACAAAATCTGGAGACCCCTGCTCTTTATCTTGTGTGTGCAGTTCTGATTCTCCTATATTCTTACCGTTTGCTATGTTCCTATGGCCAGATGTATTAATGGTTTTAAAGGCATCTAATTTTCTGGCCTACCTAACAGAACTAGTACTGGGGTGGGGAAAGGTGGGGCACCTGGCTGGCTCAGTCACTGGAGCATGAGACTCTTGATCTCGGGGTTATGAGTTCAAGCCCTACTCTGGGTGGAGAGCTTACTTAAAAATAAAATCTTTACAGGGCGCCTGGGTGGCTCAGTGGGTTAAGCCGCTGCCTTCAGCTCAGGTCATGATTCCAGGGTCCTGGGATCGAGGTCCGCATCGGGCTCTCTGCTCAGCGGGGAGCCTGCTTCCCTTCCTCTCCCTCTGCCTGCCTCTCTGCCTGCCTCTCTGCCTACTTGTGATCTCTGTCTGTCAAATAAATAAATAAAATCTTTAAAAATAAATAAATAAATAAAATCTTTACAAAAATAGAGAGAGAGAGAAGAAAAGAAAGAAGGAGAAAAAAACCTGTGAGGGCAACACAAACAGCAGTTCCCAAGGTACAAAGGCATACCTGATAAAAACAGTTTTCCCTTCATTCACATCAGAGGGTAATTTCCTCTTCTTTTTCTTTGAGACTTGCACATCTAAAGTATAAAGAAAAACAGTGTTCTAAACAATAAACACTATATTCGACGTGTGTGTGCATGCACGTGTGTTTCTGCTTATAAAAGTATTACATAGATATGTAAGAAACTTTTAACACTGGTTGTCTCTGGGGAGGTACCCTAAGTGGCTGAGGACCTGGGTACAAGGAATACTCAGTGTTTTTAAAAATAGACATACAGAGGCGCGCCTGGGTGGCTCAGTCGGTTAAGCATCTGCCTTTGGCTCAGGTCATGATCTCAGGGTCCTGGGGCTGAGTCCCACATCGGGCTCTCTGCTCAGCAGGAAACCTGCTTCTCCCCTTCCCTCTGCCAGCGTCTCTGCCTACTTGTGCTCTCGCTCTTTCTCTGTCAACTAAACAAAAAATATCTTTAAAAAACAATAAAAAGAATAAAAATAGCATATATGCTTACATATACATAAAAAATTTCTCAAATAATGCAAAAGAAACAGCTGTGGTTACTCTGAGGGACTCTCGGGGGGGAGTGGTGAGGAACTTTCCTTTCTATATGACATTCTCCTGCACTATTCTTTTTAGTTTTCTGCCATTATCATGAATTGGCCCAATAATTTTTTCAAAGTAGAGAATGATAAGAGATGAACCATTATTGAATGGTCATAATCCCACCAGTACAGAAGCTTCTTTAATTCTAAGGTGTCTACCATTCTCTCCTCATGGAAAAAGCTTATTTCCTCAGATTTTTTGTATGGCCAAGCCAACATGCCAGACTTAACCTAAAGAACCAGTTATTGACCATTTCTCATTCTGTAATGACCTGCCGCCCTCAATAAAAAAGTTGAGCTCATGTTCAACATTCTTTATAAAGAGTGTTTGATGATTACAGTTTGCTTACAGTTTTACAAAATGCCCCAAGAGGTCCGTTAGCCCCATCTCAACTCGTCAGAGTTGTTTAAAATCCACTTGATGTTAGGATACACTATCCTGTTTATCCAGTTTTTCATTCATCTTGGATAAGCAAGAGAGAAGTACTGCCTTGGCATTAAGCCAGGTTTTAAATTCCCTGAGAATTGTAACCCTCAAATACTATTCAAATGTATTTAAAAGACAGAACAAAAACCTTGAGAAGGAAAATAAAGGTATCCTTTTCAGCACCGAAACATAAATCTGACGGAACACCTTAGGGTCTATTTAAAAAGAGGCATGCGCTGAACTGAAGCACATTTGCCAGTAACTGGTTTTAAATGCAAAGGCAAACCTTTGTCCTCTTGCTCTTCACTGCTGGTATCACTCTGAGCCAGTTCCTCTCCACCACCGATACTCTCTCTTTCCCCCAGGTCACTGTCGTCATCAGAAAGCTCCTCCTCACTGCTCTCGGCAGGCGTGGCCCTCCGGATTGTTCTGCAATGGCACAGTTCAGCACTGAGGATCTGGGCTACTGCAGGGGTCTGTCCGCTGTCACTACTCACGTCAGCTCTGCCATGATGGGGACCGGGAAGACATCACTATCCCTCACAGAGACAAGCCTTCGTCTGCCTCTGTTGTCTCGGAACAAGCTGAGCTGCTTACCTCTTTTGAATTTGTGCAGGCTTGGTCACCCTTGTCTCTTTGTTCTCCTCCCTTTCCCCCTCCTCATCTTCTTCCTCTTCTGTGTCATCCTCTTCTCCCTCTTCCTCTTCCATATCCTTTTCTTCCCTGCCATTCTCTTTACCTAATTCCTGATGTTTAGGCTCAGGCCTCTTCTCCTCACCTACACACAGAGGTAAAGAAAGTTAGGTATTCATTTAGAATCCAAGATTAAGGGGCGCCTGGGTGGCTCAGTGGGTTAATCATCTGCCTTTGGCTCAGGTCATGATCCCAGGGTCCTGGGATCGAGCCCCGCATCGGGCTCCCTGCTCTGCAGGGAGCCTGCTTCTCCCTCTCCAACTCCCTCTGCTGTGTTCCCTCTCTCGCTGTGTCTCTGTCAAATAAATAAATAAAATCTTTAAAAAAATAAAAAAGAATCCAAGATTAACTTAACAACCCAAGTTCCCAGTTCCTTGGCACTAGGACTAGGACTTTAACTATTTTTCTCAGTATTTTTCACTATATATAAGAGAAAGTATGAGAGAAAAAAACAAAAACAACAACAAAAACCCCTCATCACTGAGACTCCCTGGAAGCCTGTCCCATTCATCAGAAGGTTGGTTAATCAGGCTCTGAATGAGAGAAGTAGCAACTGAGCCTCTGCAAACAGCCTGTCATTGTGCACCACAGCCGGCACGATGCTCACCCAGGGGACCAGCCATGAACTGTTATCTTGGTGAGTTCTGTTCTTGGAGCTCCTGGTGGCTTAAAAGCCACCTGCTTTCTAAAAAACCCTCAAGTTTTAAGTTTCTCTATTCTTAATATTCCATCATTTTATGAGAAGTTGGGAAAGGAGAGCCAGCAGAGGGGACAATGAACTCAGGTCCCACTCCTCATTCACATTCATACCCAGGATTGGGCTTAGACTCAAAAGACCCTATGTTTTGAGACCAGATCACCAGATGGTACAATATGAATCGACAAACAGCCCTGGGCTCACTTCTGAGCCCACAGGAACTCGGAGCTTCTTTTAATTCTCAGTCTCATTCTTTCCATTAGTTTTGTGGTTTTGGTACCTTTGACCCAGTATTCTTACTGACAAGCAGGTTCCCTAATAATTTTACCATAGGTAGAGCTGTTTCCATACCTACCTCAGGACATATTACCCCTCCTACCCAATACAACCACATCTTACCTGGGGCAGAGGCAGACTGTGTATTTTTATATTTATCCTTTGCCACAGCCCAATCCACAGCCACCGTCCGCCCTGGCAAACAGAAAAGCAGCATCAGAAAGTCTCTTCCTCTTTTTAATGTCACTTGTAAATGACTTCCTATTCATCGAAGACGGTGATAGAACCAAAACAGACAAAGAAACTGCTAATTCAGAGAATGCTGGTCCTGAAATAAAGCTCAGAGTTGCCTACCCTTGTTAACCCTTAAACTTTTTTTATCAATTTAAACAGTTATTTTGCCTTTCTACCACAGCCTGGGATAAGAGAGTAAAAAAGTTAAGAAAGAAAGAATGGGAACAGTGTTTCCAGTTAGACAAGTTTCTAGTTAGACTAAGCAACAGCCAAAACAAGTGGTCTGGAATAATTTGCACTCTGCACAGAAGTTACAAAGTCTCCAAGCCAAGGCCTTCTTTAGTATCTAGTAAAGGAGCACAGCCAGTTCAACAGCCCACTGATGCTGAAGGGTGCTGAAGAGGGACCACCACCAAGACAGAGAAACCTGCAAAACCTGCATCTATCAGTGATTATTTCAGGAACATTTTTTCACTAAGGATTTAAATGCATACTCATCACCCAAATAAAGAAAAGCAAACAAATGTATGTGTTCTTTCAAGTTTAACCCTAAGATCAAGCACTAGGAATATTTCACCACACAGTTTCTGTACTAGCAGTAAGACTCTCAATAATTCAAACACCTTTTGAAAATGTAGAAAGTGGGTTACTGTGTTAATTCACAAAACAGCAGAAATATCTGGGTGAATGGTATGGGTACAGAAAACTTACCTTTTATCTCTTTCATGTTCATGCTTTTGAGAGCTTTTCCTGCTTCTAGAAGGTTTTTGAACTGGACAAAAGCAAAACCACGCATCTTTCCATCTGTGTGCAAATGTACAAAGAAGTTAGAGACAGCAGGTGGGGAGCCAACAAACACCAAGGACATAACAGCAACCTGGGCTGGCAAGATGACCCAAATACTGCCAACAAGTCAGCTCCTTGCCCAGAGCAATAGCTTTTGTCCTCCTGCTGAGTATACCCTGACTCAAGCTTGAGGAGAAATGCATTTTCTCAAACTATTGCTTGTCTTTTAAAATTTGTTCCAATCTAACTAAAAATGCCATTGGGGGAATAAGCATTATTTTTGAGTTTTTGCTATGTGTCAAGCACTGTGCCTCATACTTTATATATGTCATGTGATCTGGGGCTCACAAGGAGTATGACATGACCCCTGTATTTCTATTTTGTTTAAAAGATTTTATTTATTTGAGAGAGAGAAAGAACACATGCGCGGTGGTGGGGAGGGGCAAAGGGAGAGGGACAGACTCCATGCTCAGTGTGAGCCCCACTTGGGGCTCTATCCCACAACCTTAAGATCGTGACCTGAGCTGAAATCCAGAGTTGAACACTCAACAGGCTGAACCACCCTGATCCCCCTGTATTTCTATTTCAAATATCAGTTAGTTCAAGGGTGAAATGGAAAAACACCATTATGTTAAATAATCTTAACCTAATCCACAGCAAATGAAAGTTTGCTGTACCTGGCTTCCGGGGGATGTTTACTTCCAGGACAGCTCCATACTGAGCAAATACTGTCTTCAAGTCATCTTCTGAACACTGATGCCACAAGTGAAAAGATATTATCACAAAAAATAAACATCAAACATCAAACATTAAATTAGCTAATTACAAAGAACTTGAATACTTTCACTCCTTTTTTACTTTTGAGACTAGGACATCAAACATTTCTAAACACAAAACACCTTGCTTTGGATCTAACAAAGAAGATAGATATCAAAGAGCTCTTCCCCTCCTCCCTGTCCCAAAAGGAAGTCTCCTTTACACTTACAATCCTTAATTGTTTATACAGGCCCATTTTCTGTATCCAACAAGGCTAAGATTCATGCCCAGAAGGAATTAGGTCCAATTATACCATCCCGGTGAGGAGCTCCACCAATCAGTACCAACAGCCTACAGAACGGGTAGTGTCAGTGCTCTCCATTACTCACCTTAAAGCTCAGGTTCCGAATAATTAATCTGGCTTTCTTATCTGCTAGTTTGGGTTTTTTAGGTTTCAGCTCCTTCTTTGGGGGTTCTGAATTTTCTAAAAAATTAGAGGCAACAAAATAAGTCTGTGATCCAGTCTCATCCCTGATCACAGGAAAGAAGCTACTAGCAAAAAAAGGCATTTCCCAAGGGTTAAGTATGACAACACCCAGGAGCACCAGATTTCCAAAGTTAGAATTAAATAAAAGACAAAAATGGGTAATAAAACACATTAGATGATTTTGGACATCAAAAGGAAATTAAAGGAAGTTTTAAATTTAGAGGCTATCCCCCATCTCCCCTCTCCATCCTCCCCTTCCTCCCACCTGAGGGAAAATTCTCTTCAGTTACTAGAAACTCACCATTTTCCCCCTTTTCCTTGGACTTGTTCCTCTGTTTTTTCTTGGCAATAGTCACATTGATCTTACAGCCTTCAAAGGTAGTGATCTCCTTGAGGGCCCTCTGAACATCTTCCAGCATAGAAAAAGTGACATAGCCAAAGCCTCGACATGCCTTACTCCCTGAACAGTGAAGGGGGAGGGAGAGCACGGTTAGTCAAGAGCTCTAAAACACTAAATTCTCTCTTTAAAACCCAGTAAATTCTCAAAGTCCTAACCAGCATATATACTGCCAGACCATCCTATTATCAGTTTGCCAAAATCCTCAGAAGAATAGAAACAAAGTTGGCATCAGTGGCCCCTTCTCCACTTTGTTCAGAAATCGTTAGGCTTCCTCTTCTAATCTGTTGTCTTCAGTGTTAGCTTGTCTTCTTCCTCCTTTCTTTTTTTTTTTTTAAGATTTTATTTATTTATTTGACAGAGATCACAAGCAGGCAGAGAGAGAGAGAGAGGAGGAAGCAGGCTCCCCGCCGAGCAGAGAACTGGATGCGGGGCTCGATCCCAGGACCCCGGTACCACGACCCGAGCTGAAGGCAGAGGCCTTAAACCACCGAGCCACCCACGCGCCCCCTTCCTCCTTTCTTGATAATCTTGAGAATACGGAAGATCCATGATACCCATTATAGCCCCAAAGAAGAACTCATATCAAACAGAATGGGAACATCACCAAAGAAGGTGGGAAAGGTAAGTATAGTAGCTTTGAGAACTGCAAGGCAATAATGCAGCAGATCAGAAATGAATGCCTGAGGCCCTGACAAAAGAACCTCAATAAACAATAAACATTGCTTCGGGAGCCTGCAGATACTATTACCATTATTACCAAGTCTTAGCAATCAATATCAAACTTAACCTGTCCAAAGTAGCTGTAAATCTCTTATCTCACTTTCATCTTCAGAAGACACTAAGGTAGGTAAAGTGAATATTACCATCCCTTTTTCCAGGTGAATAATTTGAGATGGAGGAAAGTAAGTGAACTGGTTGGTGCACCAGGGTGTTAGTAGCTGAATTAGTTCCTCATTACTGGCCCCATGTTCCTTCCATGGGACTCCACCAATATAAAGGCCACAGAGAAGAATATTGGGACCAAGCATGAATAGTTGCAAATAAAAATTCACCTTTGCCCTTTTTGGTATGCTTTTTTTGATTTAACATTTTTGTGTAGTAAAATTTTTAAGCCATCTACTGCATCGAAAAGGAAAAGACCAGGTAGTCTGCCTACGACCCAAAGAAGAAACACAGCTCACATGCTCTGCTTCTTTTTCAACTATACTCGGACCGACTTCAGGGTACAAGCCCTCAAAAACAGGATGATGACCCACATAAAGGGTTAAAGCTGACACTATGCACTAGGAAGGCATATTGTGTTCTGGAGATCAAGGTTTTTCTCCTGGCACTCCTCACAAAAGCCTGCCCACTCACTGTCAGAAATCAGAACAAGAAAAATCAGGGCCCTTCCTGATCAGTACACTGAAATGTGAAGGAGTTCAGCACCAAAATAAAAGCATGTCTCACAACAAATGCCATTCACTGTTCGCACAAAGCACTCTCACTCTACTTGAATCCTCACAACACCTTGTGAAATTGTTCCCATCTTCAAGAGGTTAAGTGACGTGCCCAAGTCATCACTACTAAGACCTCATCCCACACACACCCCCTCCTTCCCATCCCAGTAAGTATAACACTCCGTGCAACACACCCTGACTATCTGGAGAGAAGAGCATATAGTCTTTTAAAAAGGGAATAGAGTTGTTTTGTTTTTTTTGTTTGTTTGTTTGTTTTTATATTTAGACCACATACATAAGACAAAAGGTAAGATTACACTTCAGTTATAGAGGACCCTAAAGAGAATTGCCATTCCATGCCTGTTCTTCCCTGGAACAGAACCACCAAGCATGGGACAGTAGTGTCTCTCAAAGTGTTCTGACAACCCACAGTAATGAATGTAACATATATATTCTTTATATAAAACCAAAGGGGTGCCTGGTTGCCTCAGTCAGTAGAGAATGTGATTCTTTTTTTTTTAAGCTTTTATTTATTTATTTGAAAGAGAGACAGAGATCACAAGTAGGCAGAGCAGCAGGCAGAGAGAGAGGGGGAAGTAGGCTCCCCACTGAGCAGAGAGCCCAATATGGGGCTCCATCCCAGGACCCTGATATCATGACCTGAGCCGAAGGCAGAAGTTTAACCCACTAAGCCACACAGGAGCCCCCAAGAATGCGATTCTTGATCTTGGGGTTGTAAGTTTCAGCCCCACATTGGGTGTACAGATTATTTAAAAACAAAATCCTTAGGGACACCTGGACGGCTCAGTTGGTTAAGCATATGCCTTCAGCTCAGGTCATGATCCTGGGGTTCTGGGATCAGTCCCTCAAGGGGCTCCTTGCTCAGCAGGAAACCTGCTCTCTCTCTCTCTCTGACAAATAAATAAAATCTTTAAAAATAAATAAACAAATAAGAATCAAATAAAATCTTTTTTTAAAATATTTTATTTATTTTTTTTGACAGAGAGAGAGATCATAAGCGGGCAGAGAGGCAGGCGGAGAGGAGGAGGCAGGCTCCCTGCTGAGCAGAGAGCCGGATGCGATTCGGGGCTTGATCCCAGGACCTGAGATCATAACCTGAGCCGAAGGCAGAGGCTTTAACCCACTGAGCCACCCAGGCGCCCCTCAAATAAAATCTCTTAAAAATTATAAATATGGGGTGCCTGAGTGGCTCAGTCGTTACCCGTCTGTCAGGTCATGATCCATGTCTTGGGATGGAGCCCCCTGTCGGGCTCCCTGCTGAGAGGGAAGCCTGCTTCTCTCTCTCCCACTAGCCCTGCCTGTGTTCCCTCTCTCATTCTCTCTCTCTGTCAAATAAATAAATAAATAAATAATCTTTTTTGAAAATTACAAATATTAATCCTTTACCATGTAGACATATACTTTATCTTTGAGAAAATTCTTGTCATGACCCACACAAAACCCACTAACAGTAATGATCTGCAGTTAAAGAAACACGGCTGTAGAGCACTCCCATTCTCTCACGCGCCCATATCTATACCTAAAATGACAAAGAACCAGGCTCGTGTCATGGCCTGTATGGCAACCAGAGCCATGGGGACAATCCCAACTCTAGCCTCTGTCATTAACAAAATAGGAGCTAGCAACGGAGGGATTATTAGCAAACAGTTAGCGTGTCTGCTCGCACACTGAGATACCATGCGGGGAAACAGGGGTCCACAAGATGCCAGTTCCCTTCAGTTGTTCTGCTGAAAAGCAAAGAAGTGGCCGCCTACAGAGACAGCCTGATGACTTAGAAGTGAGCTAAATAAAACATCAGGTGCCTGTCTCGAGTGTCCCTTGAAGTCTAGGTAAGAGGAAGGAATGCTTCTCTACAATTAAAATCCTTACAATCCTTCCTCATTGCAATATATGCCAACCCTTTCTCACAGTGATGCAATGAGCATCACACAGAGTATGAGGCATACAGCAGGATTACACTTTTGGCTTAAGCCAAAAGCCTTGGGAATAGGACTTGACTCCTCTTTTTCTCATACCCTGCATCTGATCCATCAGCAAATCGGTTCTACCTTCAAAAATATCCATATTCCAATCACTTGCTACCACCTCCACTGTACCATCCTGGTCCAACACCGTAATTTCTCACCTGGATTATTGCAAAAGCCCACTCTTTGGTCTCCCTGCTTCTGTCCTATTCTCCAACGGCAGCCTCAGAGAATCTTTAAGCCAGATCATACTTACTGCTCCCTATTCAGTTTCTCATCTCACAGTAAAAGCCAAAGTCCTTGCAATGGCCCGTAGGTCCTCCACGATCTGGTCCCTTAGAATCTCATCTCCTAAGTCTCTTACCTTCACTCACTTACTCTGGTCACCCTGCTCTCCCTGCCATTCCTTCCATACACCAGTAGTCCTCTTCAGTATTCCTGAGCTTGCTGTTTCCTCTGCTTAGCCTCCTCCTCCTCCTGAAGAGACACATGTTCCCTCCCTCACCTCCATGAGGCCTTCCCCGGCTTCTCCATCCATAGGTAACTGCCATTCCTCACTCCTCTACAACCCCCTCCCCCACACTCACTTACAGAGACTCCTTATCCTTCTTACTGACTTATTTTCCGCCTTAGTATTTACCCCCATTACCACTCTATATTTTGCTTGTTTAATTGGATGTCTTCCCCATCTTGCAGACTTAAGAGCAAGTCTTTTGGCTTGGTTTGGGTGCGCTGCTGCATCCTCAGGACCTACAACAGTGCCTACTACACAGCAGGCCTTCAAAAAATATCTCAATGAATGAATGAGTAAATGAGTAACATACTGGTTAGGAGCTCCGGGTTGGGTGACCAAATTCTGGATCCACTACATACAAGCTGTACGAACTTCAACTGAATTTATCAAATTTTCCCCAAGCCCCAGATTCCTGTCTGTAAAATGGGGTTCAGACTCTCCACCCCAAGACTGTTGGGGAAATTGAAGGAGATTAACATGTGCGGAATTCCAGCACCGTGCCTGGCAATCAGCTGACTCTCAATACGCCTTACCGATGTTATTAAATGTGAACACTGTTACCAAATAAGACACCGTATGTGAGTGCCCACAGAAAACGGAAAGCGCTATGGAACCCTGAAGCAATGCCTTGACTGTCAGAAATGGACCCCTATGGACTCATTCAGAACCGAGTCCTTCTAGAAAAGAAACTCAATTCCCAGCCCCTTCTCCCAGGAGCGGGTCAAGAACGCCATGGCTTGCTGAAGTCTGGGAGGGTGTCCTCGCGCGGACCCCGCTCCCAAGAACCCCAGCCCTGTCCTCGACAGCCCCGCCCCCTACCTTTCTCAGTCACCACGAAGCACTGCTTCACCGGCCCCACCTGACTGAACAGCTCCTCCAGCTGCTCACTGCGGGCGGAGGGCGGCAGGCGGCCCACAAACAGGGTCAGCCCGGCCATGGGGCCGGGGGACCGAGGCGCGCGAGATCACGAGCGAATCGGGCCCTCGCACGCGAGGCGAGAATCAGACTTTGGCAGGCCAACCACGCCAAGCGGCCCGGAGATTCCGGAAGTGCTCGTTGCTCAAAAGAGTCCGGCGGAAAACAGGGTGGGGAGGGGGGGAAAGCGTTCCGGAATGGGGGAGGGGCCGTTCTGCCCGGGGGCGGAGCTTCTTGAGCGGGGCTCCACCCCTAATCCTAGCACGGCCCCTCCCGTCCCTTTCGGCCCCTGGGGCCTCTGTAGGAGACTGGCATCCCAGCTCCTACCTAGTTTAAGATCTCATTTCCAGGAGATGATCCCAGAGTGCGACGGCAGGCAGAGGAAGTCGTTTTTTGCTCGGGGTCTCACCCAGGATCTGACACATACTGGATATTTAATAAATACTTTTTTCGGTGCCACCAAAGACACCCAGTTTACGTGTATAAAGTGGAAACAGAACGCACGTAGATGCATACATCACACATGTTCTCAGAGAATGAGACATCTGTCACACTATAGCAGATAACTATAACAGTGCCTGTAACAGTGTGCAGACAAATTACAGCTACTAAAGCACACACAGACACAAATCACACACAATCATTCTTCCAATAAATATTTACTGAGCGCCTACTATGTGCCAGGCCTTAGGGATAAAACTGGTGAGCTAAAACAAGACAAGAGTCCCTACTCTCATGGAGAATGGAGTCTAGTGGGGGTAGACAGACATTCATTTTAAAAACTTACAAATAAATCATAGCAGGCACCCTACAGGATAAGAGAACACACCCAAAGCAAATATAACATACAGACACTGCATGCAGGTCCTCCCAGAAACAGGAGAAAACCTTCCCCCGGGTCAGCTTATCAGACAGACCCAAGGCTGAGGGATCTCACCCACCAGCAGGAGATCTGGGTGCTCCTGGAACCTGGAAGGCAGAGACTATTAGCCATTCCACTGGGTTCAGGAACTGACCCGGTGCAAGACTGAAGCACCCTGGAAGGGTTCCAGCTGAGAAAAGTTCCAATGCACTTTTTTATTTTAAAAGATTTGATTTATTTATTTGACAGAGAGCGAGAGAGAGATCACAAGTAGGCAGAGAGGCAGGCAGAGGGGGAGGAGGAAGTAGGCTCCCTGCTGAGCAGAGAGCCTGATTGGGGGTTCAATCCCAGGAGGCCGAGATCATGACCTTAGCTGAAGGCAGAGGCTTAACGCACTGAGCAACCCAGGCGCCCCATCAATGCACTTTTTAAATAACTTCTCAATACTATAACCTGAAAATTCAGAAAGTACAAAAGGTACAGTGAAAAGTAAGTTTCCGCTTCTCTTCAAAACCTATTTGCTGGGGCGCCTGGGTGGCTCAGTGGGTTAAAGCCTCTGCTTTAGTCTCAGGTCATGATCCCAGGGTCCTGGGATCGAGCCCCACATTCCCCACATCGGGCTCTCTGCTCAGCGGGGAGCCTGCTTCCCCATCTCTCTCTGCCTGCCTCTCTGCCTACTTGTGATCTCTGTCTGTCAAATAAATAAATAAAACCTTTAAAAAAAAAAAAACATTTGCTTTTGATACATTTTGGATGGATGGGATGGCTAGTTGACAGTAACGGGGGGGGGGGAGAACACAACATCAGATTTATGAAACCCTAGTCCAAGTATATAATGTATGCTCAAAAGAAAACACTAGTTATTTTTACACACATAACTCAAGAGAGCAAGTACTGAAATACAAAACAGATTTTTAAGGCTATGGGGTTAATCCTATCCAGGATAAACAGAGACAAGTAGACAAAGGAAGTGGGATGGGTCATTTGAATAAAGTCGGTTTGGGATTCCACATTCCTCCTCTTTTTTTCTCCTCCTCTCCTGCCCCCTCACCACTTTAGAAATCAAAATTCTATCCCCAAAGACTTAACTGCAAGCTTTGGGGCCCTAGGTATAAGGAGACCTTCCCAGTGCTGGCTGCAGCGTATCCAGGAAAAGAACCCTAAGAAGGCTGTTCCAACACCCCTTTGGGATGCCCCTACACTGCTATTTAAAATACTTCTCACTCAGACCTTCCTTAAAGAACAAAACAAAACTGTGTGCCTGTGCCCATCAGGGGGCAGCAGCCACCCACAATGCAGAGAAATTCTGTGCCCCTAGGAGTAGATAATAATGCTGCTGACCCTTTCTACACTTCCGGAGTTTCAGACCTGGGCGGGAGTGGGGGTGGGGCGTGTGCATCTCAGACTCCCAACCTCAACCTCAGCCCTGTCTCCTCCTATCCCTGCACATCAGGGAGACCACATGGTGCTTCAGTCAGGAATATTTGCTCATCCATCTCCCCAGGACACACGCAGGGTTCTTTATTAAATAGCGGGAGTTGTGGTCCCCTGCACCACATCAGCAACGTGGCTTCCAGGGGAAATAAACTGTTGGCTTCTCCCTCATCCATCACTGTGCAGGAGCCCGGGAAGGAAGGAAGAGAGGCCTGGGCTGTGCTGTCTCCCAGCCAGCCTCTCCCAGGCCCCATCCCTCTAGTCCCACTCCCCCTTGCAAGTCAAACCTTCTTATTATACCACTTACTTCTTGTGCTTAGCACTTCTCACAGCTGTAGTTAGTGCTATTGTAATTATTTATATGATTTTTTCTTTTTTTTTTTAAGATTTTATTTTTAAGTTGGGGCACCTGGGTGGCTCAGTGGGTTAAGATATTATTTTATTTTTTACGTATTTTTTATTTATTTATTTGGCAGAAAGTGAGAGATCACAAGTAGGTAGAGAAGCAGGCAGAGAGAGAGGGGAAAGCAGGCTCCCCGCTGAGCAGAGAGTCCCATGTGGGGCTTGATCTCAGGACCCTGAGATCATGGCCGGAGCGGAAGGCAGAGGCTTAACCCACTGAGCCACCCAGGTGCCCCAAGATTTTATTTTTAAGTCATTTCTAGACCCAACATGGGGCTCGAACTTATAACCTCAAAATCAAGAGTCATATGCTCTACTGACTGAGCTAGCCAGGTGCCCCTATTTGATTAGTGCTTCAGTGTCTGCCTTCCCCCAAAGACCTTCAAATTCATACTTCAGGGCTGGTGTCTGCTTCGTTCACCTCTCTCTGCTCAGCACCTAGCATGTTGTAAGCATTCCATAAAATGTTTTAAAGAGATTGAATGACTGAATGGATGAATGAGTTTGTCACTCCATCCCCTGAAGTACTAAGAACTGGGATTGAAGGGTGTGTGCATTAGGATCTACCTGGGCTCCTCTGGGAAACCTGCTTTGGGTAAGGGCCAAGGCATGGGACAAAAGGGAAGGGTTGTTTCACCAAAGTCTTGGCCTCTTTATAGTCAAAGTGCTGAAGTAATCCTTGCAGAGGAAAACCAAAGAAGTGTTGGAGTTGGTGAACACTGAGCTGTCTTCCTCTCCCCACACTTCCCCATCTCATCAGCTCCATTCACAGCTTCTAGTCAGAAAAGGAGTTTGTGTATGAGTGTGTGTGTGAGGGAGAGAGAGACAGACACACACCCCGACAGACTGACTCAGGGCATGTGGGGCTTGGACTGCCCTGTTGTGCATGAAGCCAGGTCCCCTGGTGAGGAAAGCAAATGAGCCAGCTGATAAGCATTAGGGCAAGGAAGAGGGGGCCAAGAGGAGTTGGGTGTGAGCAGAGGCAAATGGAAGGGTTGGTGGGGAAGAAAAAGAGCCATTTTTTTCAAGCAGCAAGAATCCCTTCCATGATACAAAGCAGCTCCAATGCTGGGTCTGCTACAGCCACTATGACACCAGTGAGAAATGCCTATAATTAGGAGGCTGGCAGTTCCCTGGGCCTCAGCCCAGAGTGACGATGCAGCAAGAATTTCTGAGCCAGGCTGAGCCAGGTGATGGAGGAGACACAGTAAAAAACCACTCCAGTTCCATTCCTCAGTGGCTCCTGTCTCACTGAGCTCCCTACCATGACCCTCACTCTCTCCAAACATCACTGACTCTTCCTCCTTCCGAGGTCCAAGACCCTGGACCATCTTCTCAGGCAAGACAGATCTTCATGTGCAAGGAAAACAGTGCTCTAATTCTTCCACTAGTGCATGGACCTAGTCTGGTGAGGCCCCACCCCTCAGGGCCTCCCTGCCGGCTTTCCTCTTGACTCCCCCGCCTCCCTTCTCCAATCCCCAGGAGCTGATGGGAAGACTTGGGAGAAAAACCACTTCTATTCCTATTTTTTCATTTCAAGCCTGGGATGTTGTGCCCCTGTCGGTTTTCCTGTGACATGCAAGACACCTGCCAAAACACTGCCAAATTTTTATTTCCAAACCTAATCTACAACCCTGTTTTAGTGCCACTCTGAACTTAATTGCATTTTAGCCAAATGACGAATGCACACCCCAGAGCTCAGAGCCAAATGCTCCAGACAAGGGAGAGGTTCCAGAGTCCCCGGAGGCCTGGGTCTCTGCATTGTGAACTCTGCTTCGGTGGGTAGATTGGGATCGGGGTTTGGAGGAAGATCCCTTTAGGGAGGATCTGCACCATGGGAGATGAGTGCAGGGAAAGAGGGCTTGTAAGTCCAACCTTGAAGAGGCCTTGTTGGTAGGCGGAGCAGGTAGTGTCCTCTGTGAGTTCCTCTGGGAACATGGCAGGGGGAGTTGCTGGGGATCCCAGCTCAAAGTGATCGAGCCCTTGATGTGTGTATCAACATTTCCACAGAGGACTTCACCATGGACTCACTCATCCCTAGCCAGCTGTCCCCCACAACCTGCAGCCGGGCTCCTAGGAATGCAGAGGTTTCTACCAATGGGTATAGAGGTCCCACCTCAATTCCCAGGGCCTGCTTCATCTCTGACAAGGCACTTCCCAGAGAGTCAGAGGATTTTTACAGGGTCACTCCCAGGGCCCTCACTCATCCCAGCTGTAGGACAACAAGGCTCCTTGCAATCGGGAGTAAAGGTCACCCAGGTGTGAGATGAAGCCTGCCCACCCAAACACGGCTTATCTTCCAGTTCTGATGGAATAGCTGCTGCTGTGGGCTGATCTAAGCTTTTCCAAGAAGATTAGACCTTTCTCTGAAAATATTTTATTGATAAATTAACTCTGGAAGCGCTCACCTCCCACCCAACTGCTGTGGAGTCTCCTGG